AGAGAAATTTTAGCCGACTTAAAAATATTTCATCCGATCCAGAGAAACTTTTCTCTGGTATGATCATAGAGAAATTTTCAAAATTTCTTTATAAAAATTGAAATTTCTGTAAGTCGGAATGAAATTTCTCTCAGTCAAGCAAGATTTCTCTGAGTCGAATTTTCTTTGTAGAAATGTTAAGAGGCCTTAACTACTATAAAAATACTGTATGTCCTTTTACTTATAAAATTTTAATATCGGGGATCTTAAAAAAAATTTCCCAAATGTCATAGCATAGATAGTCACTAAAAGGTCATTTCAAAAAGTCAAAAAAAAAGAAGAAGTCTTTTAACAATAAAATTTTAAAATGTTTTTATTAAATGTACCGTTGGAGACAAAATAATTTAGCCCAAAAGGGTTTACTTGTTAAGACAAAAAATTTAGTCCCAAAAAGATAATAATTCATCATTAAATGTTCAGTTTTGTCACTAAAAATAAAATATTGACACTTTTACACTTTTAGCAACAAAACATTTTCGTTCCTAAAAATTGGTTTTGTCTCTAAAATTCTCTCTAAAATCTTAATTTATTGTAGTGATTTTTATTTTATTTTTTTGATTTTTTTATCAGCAAAAATTGAAATAGTAATAAATAAAAAATATAAAAGATATCCAAATATTGTAAAACTTTAAACTTTTTCTTTCTTCAACAAATATTTTAATAAGTTCAGATATAAATTATAGGAAAAATTATACCCGCGGTGGTCCCTATATTTTACGTCTTGTGTCATTTTGATCCATACACTTTCAATTGGTTCAATTTTAGCCCTTAATTTTAGATTTTATGTCAATTTTGTCCAATTGATAATATTGTTAGTGTTTTTTAAAGAAAATTACCACTAAATTACTTTAGGTTAATTGATTGAGTTTAATAAGTTTATAATTTTGCCTTTAAAAATATGACATATGACACTTTTGTACGTATTTTTTCAAAGAGATGCTAAGAGTTATAATCAATTGGACCAAATTAAGACAAGTTGTAAATTCATGGTCAATCTAGAACTTATTCATAAAAACTTATGGTAGATGATAGTGCGGTGTGGTTGAAGTTGTCCGTCTAAAAAATAATAATAATAATAACTAAAAAAGAAAAAAAAAATGAAAGAGAAAAGTCAATAGCAGCGTTTCAATCGGCAATTAGAAAAAAATGAATGAGAAAGGGATTTAGTTGTTGAAGAACCGTTCGTCCTTGAAGTAAATTGTGAATGAGGAAAAATGTTACCCATTGAGGACTTGGTAATTATTCTCTCGTTTGCAATGGAAAATGTTTAATGAAAAATTCAACCACTCTTATCCATCTATATCTATAAATAGACACACATCCATGCTAGATATCTATCTCCTCCTTCAAGCAATTAGCCATAGAAATTTCAATTTTCTTCAATTACAATGGGCACTCACTTTATCTTTGTAACCATAGCCATCACGGCTTTGGCATCGCTTGTATCTGCTTCTGACCCTAGTCCTGTACAGGATTTTTGTGTTGCTATCAATAACTCTGCTGGTATATTTTATACTTCTCTCCCAACTTTGTGCCTTTCAAACTTAAGTGTTAGATTTTGAAATATAATTTAGTGACAAAACTTATTTATAGTGATTGTATTTTGATGATAATCATAACCTCAATTTTTAATTTTTCATTTTGAAGTCAAATATTGATTGATTAATTGTATGTTTGCATAAATATGTTTTTGTGTCATTTTGATAATCAATATTTTAGTGGTGCCAATTTCTTTTTCAAAGTATTAAATATGTATTAAGTTGGTTCCCTTGCAGACATCGTCTATTTTCATCATCAAAATAAGCAAAATTTTATAAATAAAAAATACAAATCAGCCAAAAAAATAAAAATAATTAGAAGTTAATTACACTTTTGGTCCTCAAAATATATGATATGTTTCATTTTGGTTTCCAATATTTTAATTGTTTAATTTGTGAAGGGCCAAATTTTAATTTGTTAGATGTCATTATTGTAATGTTATTGAAAATTGATTAGTTTATATAATATTTTCTTTCTTTCACCCAATTCTAACTGAAGCACAACTCCATTTTTGGTTTTTTTTTTTTTTTTGCATGCAGTGTTTGTGAATGGCAAAGTCTGCAACGACCCAAAGCTTGCCACAGCTAATGACTTTTTCTTTTCCGGCCTCCTTACTCCTCAAAGCACATCGAACCCAATTGGGTCAAAGGTCACTCCCGTAAACGTTCTACAAATACTAGGCCTCAATACTCTTGGCATCTCCTTGGCTCGAATCGACTTTGCACCTTATGGCCTCAACCCACCCCACACGCACCCTCGTGCAACTGAGATCATCGTAGTCTTGGAAGGTACTCTCTACGTCGGCTTCGTGACTTCCAACACTGACAACCGTCTCTTCACAAAGGTCTTGTATCCAGGAGATGTTTTTGTGTTCCCAGAGGGTCTCATTCACTTTCAATTTAATAATGGAAAGACTAATGCAGTAGCTCTTGCTGCCCTAAGTAGCCAAAACCCCGGAACCATTACAGTTGCTAATGCAGTATTCGGGTCGAAACCAATGATTTCTGATGATGTTCTTGCCAAGGCATTCCAAGTGGACAAGAAGGTGGTAGACCATCTTCAAGCTCAATTCTGGTATCCCAACAACTAGAGAAATAAACAATAGAGAACCCACGAATCTATTTGTTAAACTTGAAGCAAATATGATTTAATACATAGCATAAATAAGTGGGTTGGTAATGGATGATTTCCTTAAAAATTGTTTTCCTGTAATTTTATGATGATGACGTTTGTTACATTATTTCCTTAAAATTGTTTTCCTATAATTTTATAATATTGAAGTTTGTTAAATAGTACTGTCTCTCTCTCATATATTTTTTACACTCTCTTAATCTTTCAAACAATTCCCATATTCAATTGTTTAAGAGACGACAATGGACCAGCAAACTTTTGGTTATTAGAATCTTCCAAGTAGTTTAACTTGTCTATACTCCCTACGTCGAGGATATTAGAATTCAGTAACCAAAGCACAATTTGAAAAGAGATATTCGCACCCGTTTTTTGTTAGTTGTCTTTATCTAAAAATTACTCCAACAAGCTAGCTAAATTCTTCTAGTGAAGTAGCCTTTCACAGGTCTTGGGGGTCTCCACAGCTTAGTAATTTGCCTAATTATTTTACCTTCCCCAACTTTTTCTAGCTAAATTTAGCTATTCAAAAATCATTCTCTAAACATTAAAAAATAGAGAAAATTTCATTTTGCTCTCCAAACTATACATTGATGATCAATTTACACCGATACTTCTTATAATTTGAACTTTACACCTAAACTATTCAATTTTAGATCAATTTCACCCCTTGTGTCAACTGCCGTTTATAATTAGACGATATTTGCCGACGTCTTCATTTGAGATTTCATTTTACTCTCAAACTATCCCCAAAATATAAATTAGACCCCTATACAATATGAAGTTTGGGGTTCTATATTTTTAGATAGCTTGGGAGACAAAATAAAATTTCAAACAAAATTTCGGACTGCCTGTGCAACCCTTAGTCCTGTTTC